TTTGTGGGGAACAGTGACCGTGGTTAGTAGTGGCGAGTTTTTGGGATTACAGAAGAGAAATCGCACAAAGGAGAACAAAAAATTTTTTTTTATTTTATTTTTCCAGTTCAGGCCCACTGAGCTATGCAGCTTTTCTGCAGAAGCTAGCTAAACTAAGTGGCGTATTGCGTGGAAATGTCTAGCAGCCAGACACTTTGAACGCGTGGTGATGTTGATTCTAAATGGGAACATCCCGAGGACCCAGATAAAAATGCAAACGACCATGGGGGAGAGTTGGGGTCGAACCCACGACCTCCTGTACACCAGGAGAGGTAGTTAACATCTCCTAGCCACCGTGATGATGATGAGAGAGACACACGCAAACTCCAAATATACAGCAGCAGGCGTCAGGGTCGGGATCGAACCCACGATCTCCTGTATACCAGGCGAGGTAATTAACATCTCCTAGCCACCGTGATGATAATGAGAGAGAGAGAGAAACGCAAACTCCAAATATACAGCAGCAGCAGGCGTCAGGGTCGGGATCGAACCCACGATCTCCTGTACACCAGGCGAGGTAATTAACATCTCCTAGCCACCGTGATGATAATGAGAGAGAGAGAAACGCAAACTCCAAATATACAGCAGCAGCAGGCGTCAGGGTCGGGATCGAACTCACGACCTTCTGTATACCAGGCGAGGTAGCTAACATCTCCTAGCCACCGTGATGGTGATGAGAGAGAGAAACGCAAACTCCAAATATACAGCAGCAGGCGTCGGGGTCGGGATCGAAGCCACGACCTCGTGTATAGCAGGCGAGGTAGTTAACATCTCCTAGCCACCGTGATGATGATGAGAGAGACACGCAAACTCCAAATATACAGCAGCAGGCGTCAGGGTCGGGATCGAACCCACGACCTCCTGTACACCAGGCGAGGTAGTTAACATCTCCTAGCCACCGTGATGATGAGAGAGAGACACGCAAACTACACATATACAGCAGCAGGCGTCAGGGTCGGGATCGAACCCACGACCTCCTGTACACCAGGCGAGGTAGTTAACATCTCCTAGCCACCGTGATGATGATGAGAGAGAGACACGCAAACTCCAAATATACAGCAGCAGCAGGCCACAGGGTCGGGATCGAACACCACGACCTCCTGTATACCAGGCGAGGTAGTCAACATCTGGCCACCGTGGCGGCCCTTAAGATACCGGTGAGAGTGCAACACGTGGCAAGACACGAGGCCCCCCTCGGGGGCAGTTCCCGTCCATCGTCGTCCGTCGCCGCAATTAGTCTCAAATCTCCTCTTGACAGAAGCGTTGTAGCTCCTGACAGAGCACAGCACGTGGCGAGAAAACACCACGAGTCGCAGCCACGAGCAACTCTGGAGACGCACGTTCACGATGGGGCCAGCGTACAACGAGACGCGGCTGCCGTTCCGTGACCGCCTCGTGCGAGAGGCCCATGACGTCACACTGCGGCCTGTGACGTGGGTGGCTCCCTCGCAAGGGGCCAATCAGAGTCGTCAACAAGGCCGATGACGCTGCGCCCGCAGCTCCGTCGGCAATGGGCGATTTAGAAGGCGAACAGGCCGCGGTGGTGCGATTGTGGCCGTGCAACACAAACTGTGGACTGCAAACGAACGCGGTTGAAATAACGACACCGCCGGGAAGAGGGCGGGGGGAGACCTCGATCAAGATCCCAACACTTTATTTATTGTCGTTCATTCATTTCCACAACGGCATCACGACGGGACACACACTCACTCACTCACAGTGTTTACGGGCAACGGTCTCCCTGCAACGTCGCATATCCGACCGTAGCGCATCCGCCGTTCCGACCGAAACATCCGACCGCGCACATTGAGAAGGCGTTCGTTTATTTTGATCGTTTAAACATCCGACCTCGACACACACACACACCGCTCCCTACATCGCGGTACCCCGCGAGTCGGATACGCGACGTTGTGCCGTGTCTGCCGGGTAACCGCCGATGTTTTGTTGTTAAAGCAACGTCGTCGCCGCTTAAACATCGATGAGGGTTACATGCTGCAACGTGACCTTTTTTTTACGACGCATCTTTATTGCGATGACACGCGCGCGCATAACACGAAAAGCTGAACCCTAGAACATGAAGACAACGGCGTGACCCCCGCATCGCCACTGGAGTGGAGTGGTGGGTGGCGCAGTCGTTAGCGGACTGCGCTGCGAACACGGCCACCTGAGTTTTGATTCCGGGGTCACGGCGAACGAACATCGTTGGCGAGTGATATGGGAACCAGTCGTGAGCCCGACCACTTCGTAAACCCGCACTGACCAGCGCGGTGAAGTATGGTCAAACAACTCCCCCCCCCCCCCCATTACCGTTCAGAGTATTTATAGTACAAGTTATAATATTGAGCTCTTTCTCAATCCACTGCTGGATGAAGGCCTCCAAATTCCGTGTTAGTCATCGTTTGACCATACTTCACCACGATCGTCAGTGGAAATTCAATTTTGGGGGGGAGGGGGGGGGATGACGACACCGATGACCGGTTCAGATACTACTCGCCACTGATGTTAGCCGTGACCGGGAATTAGAACTCGGGGTCTCCAAATTCGTAGCGCGAGTACGTCAACAACTGTGCCACCGCTCTCCACTCTCTCATGACGATGAATAATATTAATACTGTTATTATTATGATCATTAAACTTTTATTTTTTTCAATGGAAGCCAGGTCCATACTCTTTGGTTCTTTCGGTAAAGTCACGTGGGTGGAACAATTAATCGATCGCGACGTTTCGATCGGCACACGTCTGAAGACGATTGCTTGTGTGGCGATCGAAACGTAGTGATCTATTGATTATTCTACCCACGTGACTTTACCGAAAGAACCAGAGAGTTATGGGTTCCTGCAGTCACGACAGCTCCAAATCACTATGGAAGCCGGGTCATCTAACGAACGCAGCTCGGCAACCTTCTAAACATTTCTAGCGATAAAACAAACAAAACGTACGAACGTCTAACCGAGGGAATATGTTTATAGTAAAAAAAAAACGTACCGTTAGCTACGCGCCTCTCTGTGTTTTACCGCCGTAGCGAGGTATAAGAGCTGTTGCGAGGTAGTTGTGTTATTTTTTTAGTTTTTTTGTCCACGTGCGAGCGATCGGGCTCGCGAAACCGCGCGACTCCGGAATCGTCGCACCGCAGCCGCTTTGCCCACCACACACATCCTGAGCGAGTGGTTGCGGCAGACGCGCGGCACCACGCGTGTCCGCCGTGGAATTGCGGCGCGCGCGGCGCTCGCACGAATCGCGGCGGTTTCATCGAAAGTCGAGGCCGCCACTGCCGCGGGCAGCAACCGTGGAGCAGGCTGCTACGCAACTCGGTTGCAGAGACCGTTCCACGTTGCAAGCGACTCGGTTCGCAGGCAAACCACGTTGCGCGCGACTGATCACACGAGTTGCGCTCACGATTTCTCGGGTGCGGACCGGCTTGAGGCTGCGGTTTTGTCGCGGAGGTCACGAAGGTCACGGAGGTTACAGAGGTCACGGAGGTTATAGAGGTCGCAGAGGTTAGAGGTCACGAGGTTACGGAGGTTACAGAGGTCACGGAGGTTATGGAGGTTACAGAGATTACGAAGGTCACAGAGGTCACAGAGGTCACGGAGGTCACGGAGGTCACGGAGGTTATAGAGGTCACGGAGGTTACAGAGGTCGTGAAAGGTCACAGAGGTCACGGAAATCGTGAATTTGAATGAGGTCGTAAGTGAAATACTGCAAGTGGCTCTTCCTTTGCGTCCCACGCACTGAAAATACAAAACTGTATTCATATACAAATCTGTATTTTAAGCGTGTGGAGTGCAGCATTTTCGACCACTGCAATTGAGCCGTTGTCAATCACTCGCACGCACAGCGGGACATCGATGTCCTGCAGAGAGAGAAACCTCGTGGAATCTGACGCCAATGTCAAAAGTGTCCAGTTCGGAATCCACGTTTGAAATACCGTGTAGTGTAAACTTTCTTAAAGGCTACTCTTGAGGTTTATTGTGATTGTTTTTTTTTCAGTGATTATGTTCGTACAAAAATAAACGTAAACAAGTGTGACCCTCTTTAAGACATACCTTAGATGTGTGTGTGTGTACGTATAGCACCATGACCTAACGATAAAAACAATCGTATAAAGTTCACACACGCGCGAGAAAAAATGCTGAAACTAAAAACTAAATAATCAGTTTGACACGTAGGCTTTCGCGGCCAATATCATCGTACTCGGATTCTAAATGTTGTGGCTTGGCTCTCCAACACACCGGTTAGTGCTGTACGAATTGGCTACGTTCTGTATACGCTCCAAGCCTGGTGGTGTTTCATTGAGACGCTGTCTTTCCGACAGACCTGTTCTTCACCTGAGGACGGCTGCTTGCGTTGTGGCCGAAACGTCGTGAGAATTGTATTTTATAACGTTTTATTATTTATTATTTATTATTTTATTATTTCCCTTCTACGTGACTTTACGAAAAGAACGTTCTGTTTACGTGACTAGTTGTCTGTGTCGGGTGGTGGCGGGTTTCAACCACACATTTATATATTTACGAAAAATATATTTCTAACCCCAAAACCTCTATTATGGATGCCGAATAATATAATCTTTGCGGCTTTGCAAATATCGGTTCGTGTTTTAACCGGCTGAGACTCCGTTCGCGATCCTGGGTGTCTTCAGTGTGAGAGCTCAGACTTGGCTTTGAGTTTCTCAAACGATAAGCAGTTCACAAATTCACTCGATTTGTAAATGTTCAGCGGTGGTGACGGAGCCGGCGTGAGCTCCTCAATAAATGCAAAGCTGCCACGTTTCCCAACTACTACGGGACATGTGACGAGTTCGGAGCCCCCCCCTCCCCTCAGCCACCACCGCCCACTTTGACATGGCCACGCCCAATCGCTAACTACCCCCAACCCACCCCCCATTGATGTTGACCCCACCCCATTGATGTTGACCCCACCCCATTGATCACAGCCCCCACCCACCCAGGTAGGCCCCTCCCACTGTCCGGATAAGCCCCTCCCACTGTTCAGGCACTAGACGGTAATTAGTATATTTATAGAAACCGTGTGTTTTGCTGTCACGCATTTAGCACCAAAAATAAGTAAACAATGTCACGCAGCTGGATCAATAGCACCTCGCGATTCCGTAATCGTCGTCACTACCATCGTCATGGTTACCGACAGCGTCGTCGTTGTCATCGTGATGACGGTGATGGTCGTTATCGCGATTTCACCAGAGTTGTCAATCAACAAAAGCGTTACTTTCATCGTCATCATCACCGCCATCAACGTCATTGTCATCGTCACCAGTCGTCATTGCCATCATCATGGTTATCGTGGGACCTTATTGCCAGAAAGGGTAAAAATATTCTCATTTTTCATACCATGATTATCGGCAATGTCATTAGCACTCTCATCACCATCACTGCCATCATCAGCACCATCATCGCCGCCATCATTCACATCAAAATCATCCTCGTCAATGTCATTATCACTGCCATCATCACCATCATCATCACCGCCATCATTCACATCAAAAATCATCCTCGTCAATGTCATCATCGCCATCATCATCAGCTGCCAGATCAAGATAGACGAACACTGACGCATGTGTGTGTAGTTACCCCGACGACCGCTTTCACCGTCAACGCACAGTCTCTCTGCTCTGCCACTGGTGCGCACTGCGGCGCCGTGGCTTCAACTCGTGGCTGCGTTATTTCCACCCCCCCCCCCGCCCCACTCTTGACAGCCGTGCGTCGTTCTGAGCGGCCGCGCATAACTGGCGATTGCCGAAACGGCCTTGAAATCCCAACCGAGTTGATTTCAGGCGTGGAATGCGTTAACCCGGAGGGTCGCCGCTATGCGAGTGTTCGTCGCTGATTTTCAGAGATGGGTGGAGGATGGCCCACTTTGGCCAATAAGACATCCTCAGTGTGTGAGGGCCGCCGCACATTAAAACCCGTTGGGGTTTGACAGCAGCACGATGATGGTGGGGGGCGTGGGGGTGTTTTCGCATGTTGTGTATTTGTCGGGAGGAGGGCCGCGCGTAAAGGGCCGCACTAAAGGCTGCCAGTGGCCTGCGGGGCCTTGCAATGAAGAGCGCCGCGCTACGTTGCTGCGATGAGGGGGGGGCCATCACCACGTCGGGGGTGACGCCGGCTGGCAAAACCCACTTGCTCTACTGCCACCTCGAGGCTGCAACTCTCAGACGTCGACGCGGCAACGACGTCTGTCGAGTTACGTCCGCGTCACGCGCCGGTGGGGAAATTATTTGGCGAAAATGAACAACTCTCGAGAGGTCGACGCTTGTCGCCGTTTCTGTTGTAGACTTCTGAGTGGCGTGCGGGCGATCGGAGGGAGAGAGAGAGGGAGATCGCTGTCGATTACAATTCCAAATTTTTTTTTTTTTAGACGCTGTCGCCTCGACAGACCTGTCTTCACCTGAGGACGGCTACTTGCGTTGTGGCCGAAACGTCGTGAGAATAATTTTATCATGTTTAATTTTTATTATTTTATTACTTCCCTTCTACGTGACTTTACCGAAAGAACCAAGAAGATTTATCCCTGCAGTCACGAAAGCAGCTTTAAATCGAAATTTGGTTTAAACAATTGAAAAAACGCATCGGGAAGTTGATCGTCGTACGAGTTTTGGGCCGGTTTTGTGAGATTCGACCCGGCCGCCAACAAAATGATTTTGTCTCATTTTCTCTCGATTTTGTATCCCGCAATCATCGTGCTGCCATCGGCGTCGCGTCGTCACGGGACGAAGAATCCGTTGGGAAAATCTCGCAGAGCGACGAGACCCCCCGGCGGTGTTAGCAAACGTCCCGCAGAAGCGGACATCCCAGAGCTACTTGTGAGATTCGACCCGGCCGCCAACAAAATGATTTTGTCTCATTTTCTCTCGATTTTGTATCCCGCAATCATCGTGCTGCCATCGGCGTCGCGTCGTCACGGGACGAAGAATCCGTTGGGAAAATCTCGCAGAGCGACGAGACCCCCCGGCGGTGTTAGCAAACGTCCCGCAGAAGCGGACATCCCAGAGCTACTTGTGAGATTCGACCCGGCCGCCAACAAAATGATTTTGTCTCATTTTCTCTCGATTTTGTATCCCGCAATCATCGTGCTGCCATCGGCGTCGCGTCGTCACGGGACGAAGAATCCGTTGGGAAAATCTCGCAGAGCGACGAGACCCCCCGGCGGTGTTAGCAAACGTCCCGCAGAAGCGGACATCCCAGAGCTACTTGTGAGATTCGACCCGGCCGCCAACAAAATGATTTTGTCTCATTTTCTCTCGATTTGTATCCCGCAATCATCGTGCTGCCATCGGCGTCGCGTCGTCACGGGACGAAGAATCCGTTGGGAAAATCTCGCAGAGCGACGAGACCCCCCGGCGGTGTTAGCAAACGTCCCGCAGAAGCGGACATCCCAGAGCTACTTGTGAGATTCGACCCGGCCGCCAACAAAATGATTTTGTCTCATTTTCTCTCGATTTTGTATCCCGCAATCATCGTGCTGCCATCGGCGTCGCGTCGTCACGGGACGAAGAATCCGTTGGGAAAATCTCGCAGAGCGACGAGACCCCCCGGCGGTGTTAGCAAACGTCCCGCAGAAGCGGACATCCCAGAGCTACTTGTGAGATTCGACCCGGCCGCCAACAAAATGATTTTGTCTCATTTTCTCTCGATTTTGTATCCCGCAATCATCGTGCTGCCATCGGCGTCGCGTCGTCACGGGACGAAGAATCCGTTGGGAAAATCTCGCAGAGCGACGAGACCCCCCGGCGGTGTTAGCAAACGTCCCGCAGAAGCGGACATCCCAGAGCTACTTGTGAGATTCGACCCGGCCGCCAACAAAATGATTTTGTCTCATTTTCTCTCGATTTTGTATCCCGCAATCATCGTGCTGCCATCGGCGTCGCGTCGTCACGGGACGAAGAATCCGTTGGGAAAATCTCGCAGAGCGACGAGACCCCCCGGCGGTGTTAGCAAACGTCCCGCAGAAGCGGACATCCCAGAGCTACTTGTGAGATTCGACCCGGCCGCCAACAAAATGATTTTGTCTCATTTTCTCTCGATTTTGTATCCCGCAATCATCGTGCTGCCATCGGCGTCGCGTCGTCACGGGACGAAGAATCCGTTGGGAAAATCTCGCAGAGCGACGAGACCCCCCGGCGGTGTTAGCAAACGTCCCGCAGAAGCGGACATCCCAGAGCTACTTGTGAGATTCGACCCGGCCGCCAACAAAATGATTTTGTCTCATTTTCTCTCGATTTTGTATCCCGCAATCATCGTGCTGCCATCGGCGTCGCGTCGTCACGGGACGAAGAATCCGTTGGGAAAATCTCGCAGAGCGACGAGACCCCCCGGCGGTGTTAGCAAACGTCCCGCAGAAGCGGACATCCCAGAGCTACTTGTGAGATTCGACCCGGCCGCCAACAAAATGATTTTGTCTCATTTTCTCTCGATTTTGTATCCCGCAATCATCGTGCTGCCATCGGCGTCGCGTCGTCACGGGACGAAGAATCCGTTGGGAAAATCTCGCAGAGCGACGAGACCCCCCGGCGGTGTTAGCAAACGTCCCGCAGAAGCGGACATCCCAGAGCTACTTGTGAGATTCGACCCGGCCGCCAACAAAATGATTTTGTCTCATTTTCTCTCGATTTTGTATCCCGCAATCATCGTGCTGCCATCGGCGTCGCGTCGTCACGGGACGAAGAATCCGTTGGGAAAATCTCGCAGAGCGACGAGACCCCCCGGCGGTGTTAGCAAACGTCCCGCAGAAGCGGACATCCCAGAGCTACTTGTGAGATTCCTTCAGGTCACCTCTTGTCCACACGCACCAGAGGGCAGCACTTTCCCACCCTGCCCTGATATAAGAGAGTAACGCTCGTTGCGTGGCAGTCAAACCGACCAAACGTTATCGCTCAGAGCAGAAATATTGCCAAATTAAGTGCACATCCAAATGTTATGCGATGGGTTTCACGTATTAAATAGGCGACCGGGCTGAGATCATCAACTCATATTCTTAGGTTTTTTCGGTAAAGTCACGTAGGTAAAACATTAAAATTTATAAAACTAAATATTAATTTTAATGTTTTACCTACGTGACTTTACCGAAAAAACCTAAGAATATGAATCCTTGCAGTCACGAAAGCTTCAAATCTAGAATTATCAACTCACTAGACTTGAGAAACCCAGTTGAATCACAACCTCAGGCTAAGTGAGCCAATGGGGCTCTGTGTCAGCCCATTGGTCTCTATGTAAGCCTCTGGGGTCTCTATACTGTATAAGTCCATGTGTAGGTCTGTGATTCTATATGCAATTCATTGGTGACTGGGTAGAGTCCATCAACTCTCTATATTTGAAACCCCGGTTTAATCACAACTCATTTTACGTGAGTCTATGGGTCTCTATGTGAACCTATTGGTCTCTGTCTGAGTCTGTGGGTCTCTATGTGAGTCTGTGGGTATCTATGTGAGTCTGTGGGTCTCTATGTGAGTCTCTGGATCTCTATGTGAGTCTGCGGGTTTCTATTTGATTCTATGGTTCTCTGTGTGAGTCTGTGGGTCTCTATGTGAGTATCTGGGTCTCTATGTGAATCTATGGGTCTCTATGCGAGTCTGTGGGTCTCTACGTGGGTCTATGGGTCTCTACGTGAGTCTATGGGTCTCTACGTGAGTCTGTGGGTCTCTATGTGAGTCTATGGGTCTCTATGTGAGTCTATGGGTCTCTGTGTGAGTCTATGAGACCCCGGTGTAATCGCTGTGGTTGCAACCCAGGATCTCAGCGGTGCCGGCTCAGAGTCTCTGACCTCTGAGCCACCACGTGGCCTCCGTTTAGATATTCATTTCAGTTGAGCACAAACCAATTTTTTGCTTTGAGTTTATCGCGATTTCCCCTCATCCGCCAGACTGTGCAGTGCGGTTAACTTAACACCGCGCGGTTAAATCGCGTCTAAACGGCCGCCTTTGTGTGTTTGGGCATCATATTTTAATTTGTTCCGTGCAGGCAGTTGGCAGTTGACCTCGTTAGCCACCTTACGTGTTCACAGGACCCGACCGTCTTGAGGTAGCATGAGGCCTGCTTCTATTGGCTGGTGCCCGAGGACCCCTGGGGTGGCTCTTGAGCTGCCTGTTCCGGTTCCTTGAAAAAAAACAAACGCAAAAAAAAAAATCACAAATACAATTAGATTCTTTAAATATTTGTTTTTGTCATGCAAATAAATGTACATGTCACGATTCGATGAATTATCCAGCATTTAAGCTCAACAGCAATTCTCGCGGACAGATTTTTTGTTAAAGTGATTTGAGACGACCCGGCGTTTTCGCTTGAAACTGCACCAAGCATTTAGATTTAAAGCTTCTTTCGTGACTGTAGGGATTCATCTTCTTGGTTCTTTCGGTAAAGTCACGTAGAAGGGAAATAATAAAATAATAAAAATAAAACTAATTAATTCACATGACGTTTCGGCCACAACGCAAGCAGCCATCCTCAGGTGAAGAACAGGTCTGTCGGAAAAACAGCGTCTAATATGACTTTGAAACCCCCCGCCCACCTCCTACGCATTCCACAAGTAGTGACTAATCCCATATCTGCATTTCCCATAAATATACTAAATTCCTCTTGATATGCAAATTCCTTTGTCAAGGCGCTCTTCCCCCTCCAACCCAGCTTAAATATACGCTGCCAAGCCTGGTGGTGCTCATTCAGACGCTGTCTTTCCGAGAGACCTGTTCTTCACCTGAGGACGGCTGCTTGCGTTGTGGCCGAAACGTCGTGAGAATTATTTTATCATGTTTAATTTTTATTTTTTTATTATTTCCCTTCTACGTGACTTTACCGAAAGAACCAAGAAGATGCGCCAAGCATCTTCAGGACAAAGCAGTCGATCGGCGCATCGTGAAGCTGCTCGTGCGCCACGTGGCAACGTCGTCCGTTTAGCTTTGTCGGGTGGCGGAGGGGTACCACGAGGAGAAATCCGACCACATCATCACGTGGCCTAACACCCCCCCCCCCCCCGCTCAAAAAAATCAATGATGAATCACGACACTGGCTGTGAAATCACATTTCTCACACGTTTAGCCAATCCCCGGATATTTCGCACGGGGGATCCGTGATGCGTGAGCACAGCAGCAACGACAACAGAGACAAAAAAATAAAAATATGCAGAGAACGAGTACTTATGTACGTTGCTAACCGCAGGTGCGGAATAACGCACGACAAATGAGGTTTATAAAGGTCACGTAGGAAACACGTGCGAGTCAAAAAACTGCGCAAATGTTATGTGAAATGGTTAGGTAACAGGCGCGCATGTAAGATCTATACAGGGGTGCTTTAAAAAAATGTGAACACTCTGAGAATTTGCAACATCACCGCAAGATACGTGCTACCTCCGGGCTCTAGAGACCACCTGGAGAAGATTCCAGGGCACGCGTTGACAATGACGGCGAGTTACTGCAGCTACATACTATTAGCATTCCTTCTCTTTATTAATGTTATCCCTATCCCCTCCCTTTGATGCTGCTAATCCTGCATAATGCACGGGCATAATGACTTTAAACCCCCCGCCAAACCTCCTACGCATTTCACAAGTAGTACTAATCGCATATCTGCATTTCCCATAAATATGCTAAATTCCTCTTGATATGCAAATTATTTTGTCAAGGCGCCCTTTCCCCCTCCATCCCAGCTTAAATAGTCGCTCCAAGCCTGGGGTGTATCATTCAGACTGTCTTCTCGACAGACCTGTTCTTCACCTGAGGACGGCTGCTTGCGTTGTGGCCGAAACGTCGTGAGAATTATTTTATAATGTTTTATTTTTATTATTTTATTATTTCCATTCTACGTGACTTTACCGAAAGAACCAAGAAGATGAATTGGGAGACTCTTTAACTTTTTGAAACGATTAACATCACATTTGTTATCATGTCACAGTGTATTACCCGTTATTTCCCCATTAAAAACGATATAAGTGTTAAAACATTTTTTGAAGTACCCTGTATATTGGTCGAACTTGACGACTGGCGAACCCTGATCTGTGACCCCTTCCTATCGGGTCGATGAACTGTTACAATCCGTGCTCTTGATTCGAATTTGAAGGAGAGACGAGAGTGGTGGGGCAGTGGTTAGCCCGCTGTATGACAACCACAGAAAACCGAGTTCAATTCTCGGTCACGGCCAATATCGGTGACGAATACCTGAACCCGACGCGTGCATCCCCTGGGTTTACTCAACCTTAAATGGGTGGTCCTGGCCTTCATAGGTGCTCGTTAACACCACTTGCCCCGATAGACTGAACCCGGCGATCTGAGTTTCATTCTCGCTCATGGCCAACACCGGTGACGATTATCTGAGCTGGTCCCGGGCCTCCCCTAGGTCGACTCGGCCTCAAACAAGTACCTGGTGCAATGTGTAAACATCGCCACTGGGGAGACAAAGGCGGACGGGCGTACTGCTGGCTACCGTTAAAAGTACTTACCCGAAAATGATGCTGATGCTATACGGGGGATCTTTGTCTTTGTTTGTACCCAAATCTTAGACTTTTGTTTTTATAAAAACCCAAACCGCTCTCCACCTGAAAATGTTTCTGCACAGGAAGCTGCGATTCCCACTCCCGACTCCAGGAAATGAGAAAAGCACGAGGTCCCTCACTCACTCACACGGTCACTCAGTCTCACTCACACCACATGGGCTCACTCAGTCTCATTCACTCACTCAGCCTCACTCACACGGCCTCACTCAGCCTCACTCACTCACACAGCCTGACTCACTCACACGGGCTCACTCAGTCTCATTCACTCACTCAGCCTCACTCACACAGCCTCACTCACTCACACGGGCTCACTCAGTCTCATTCACTCACACGGCCTCACTCAGCCTCACTCACTCACACAGCCTGACTCACTCAGTCTCATTCACTCACTCAGCCTGACTCGCACATCATCACTCAGCCTCACTCACTCACTCACACGGCCTCACTTACACAGCCTCACTCACTCACACAGCCTCACTCTCTGCTGCTGCTGCTTAGTCGGTCACGTTCGCTCAGACATTTGCTTCGGCGGTGACCTTAAGACAAGAGCACACGGCAAACGCAGCTCTCCAGGAACTGCACGTGGTGGTTTTGTTGTTGCGCGTGACGCACGAGCGCCGGTCCGTGTCGAAGGAGCAACTCGACTGGCGTGTTGTTTAATTGTCTTTTTTACCCTTCTATCTGGCAACAAAACTGACACCTTTTTACAAGGAGTCATGTTTGCATAGACCGCATACCTGCAGTCATAATACAAACAAAAGACACAACTCTAATAATGTATGCACTGTCCTTGAAGTTGATTGGTCCACACCCGAGACAGCTTTCCTTAGAGCCTAGTCTCACATGGTGTTGGACCAGATGACGCCAAAAGGCGCACAACTCAAAGACAATGCACCATCAGAGTATGAGAGCTCGGGGCAAGCATCTGGCAAATGAGGTTCCCATAGTGGCGTGTTGCTTGTTCGCGTGACAAATCCTTTACCACTTGGCCGTGTCGGGTGGTGGAGGGTCACGACGCATTTACAGGTAGTCCCCGAGATACGATGGGGTCCGACTTACGATATTTCGATCTTACGATGGCGAAGGCGATACGACAAAATTGTTAAATATTTTACATTTCGCGCGGCAGGCAAACGCAGCAGCGTACGAATCTTGGAGAGTGCAGTACAATGTGATACGTTACGATACGTTCAATGCGTGTATGATACGTAGCTTTAGCGATTTCATTTTAGGGTTACCACGATACGCTACGTTCAATGCATGTTAAACGTTTTTTTTATAGCAGATAGGATTGTTTCCTGAAAAAACTTTCTATTAAATTGCAGTTCATATAGGTCGGCTAAGAATTTACTTTGGTTTTCTTACTTTACATTTTACTGTGCAATACAGTATTGTCATTAATAAATACACAGTATATAGTTTATACAGTACGGTCCTGTAAATTGCTTTGTTTTGCTAAGTTATCACCGTTCTGTAAGACTCCTGGGTAGGCTAGGCCATCTTCGACTTTCGATATTTTCCACTTACGATGGGGTCGTCGTAACGCATCTCCATCGTAAATAGAGGACCGCCTGTATAGTGAACGCGATCTAACCTCCCCCCCACCCCCCCAAAAAAAACAATCTCTGTGACGAATAATATCGGTCGCGAAAAGCCCGCAGCTTGCTAATCTGCACCGGTCCTTGGGAATTCTGAAGGCGAGAAAAGGAAAACACAAAAACATCCCAACGCAGACTTTCAAATCTCAACACCTCCCCCTGTCTCTCCCCCTCCTCCCCTCCCCCCAACGCCACCCCATCTCGCCCCCACTGACCCCGGAGTTCCCTTCCCAGCGGCGTCCTGCGTCGGATCGTCAGGAATGTCGGCGTAGTGCCCACGGCGAGGGCGGTGACTCGGGGACCCTGGGACCGTGACATCTGCTGCTCAACATTCTGCGTCTGATAACTGACAAAAAAATAAAAATCTACTTTTTCTTTTAAAATGTTTAGCGGGTAAGAGCGGCACGCTGGGCTATTGGTGGCCCTTTTTCAGAAGCGGCCTGGCGATCGCTCAATCGAGTGGCTTAGCATCACGTGGACATTCATAGCGGTCAAATACACCACAGAGGCACGTTCATTCTCAATGTGGAGGGGCGGAAAAACGGGGGGACCTGGAGAAAAATCCGCACGAGAGACACGCACACTCCAAATATACAGCAGCAGCAGCAGGCGTCGGGGTCGGGATCGAACCCACGACCTCCTGTATACCAGGCGAGGTAGTTAACATCTCCTAGCCACCGTGATGATGATGATGAGAGAGACACGCAAACTCCAAATATACAGCAGCAGCAGGCGTCGGGGTCGGGATCGAACCAACGACCTCCTGTATACCAGGCGAGGTAGTTAACATCTCCTAGCCACCGTGATGATGATGATGAGAGAGACACGCAAACTCCAAATATACAGCAGCAGGCATCAGGGTCGGGATCGAACCCACGACCGCCTGTATACCAGGCGAGGTAGTTAACATCTCCTAGCCACCGTGGTGATGATGATGAGAGAGACACGCAAACTCCAAATATAAAGCAGCAGGCGTCAGGGTCGGGATCGAACCCACGACCTCCTGCATACCAGGCGAGGAAGTTAACATCTCCTAGCCACCGTGATGATGATGAGAGAGAGAGACACGCAAACTCCAAATATACAGCAGCAGGAGTCGGGGGCGGGATCGAACCCACGACCTCCTGTATACCAGGCGAGGCAGTTAACATCTCCTAGCCACCGTGATGATGATGATGAGAGAGACACGCAAACTCCAAATATACAGCAGCAGCAGGCGTCGGGGTCGGGATCGAACCAACGACCTCCTGTATACCAGGCGAGGTAGTTAACATCTCCTAGCCACCGTGATGATGATGATGAGAGAGACACGCAAACTCCAAATATACAGCAGCAGGCGTCAGGGTCGGGATCGAACCCACGACCACCTGTATACCAGGCGAGGTAGTTAACATCTCCTAGCCACCGTTGTGATGATGATGAGAGAGACACGCAAACTCCAAATATAAAGCAGCAGGCGTCAGGGTCGGGATCGAACCCACGACCTCCTGCACACCAGGCGAGGTAGTTAACATCTCCTAGCCACCGTAATGATAATGAGAGAGAGACAATTACACTCCAAATATACAGCAGCAGGCGTCAGGGTCGGGATCGAACCCACGACCTCCTGTATACCAGGCGAGGTAGTTAACATCTCCTAGCTACCGTGATGATTATGATGAGAGAGACACGCAAACTCCAAATATACAGCAGCAGGCGTCAGGGTCGGGATCGAACCCACGACCTCCTGTATACCAGGCAAGGTAGTTAACATCTCCTAGCCACCGTGGTGATGATGAGTGAGAGACACGCAAACTCCAAATATACAGCAGCAGGCGTCACGGTCGGGATCGAACCCACAACCTCCTGCATACCAGGCGAGGTAGTTAACATCTCCTAGCCACCGTGGTGATGATGAGAGAGAGACACGCAAACTCCAAATATACAGCAGCAGGCGTCGGGGTCGGGTTCGAACCCACGACCTCCTGTATACCTGGCAAGGTAGCTAACATCTCCTAGCCACCGTGGTGATGATGATGAGAGAGACACGCCAACTCCAAATATACAGCAGCAGGCGTCAGGATCGGGATCGAACCCACGACCTCCTGCATACCAGGCGAGGTAGTTAACATCTCCTAGCCACCGCGGAAGTGGTAGTCCCGTGTGCGAGGGAGTGACACAGTCCCCTCCTGGCATAGTAACGTGGAGTGGAATCCGGAAATCGCCGCGCAGTGCGTGCGCGGCGATTCGTGTCCTCGGAGAGCAGCCCGTGAAAGCGGATATCACAGAGCGACCTCTGAGGCCCCCTTCTCCTTCCAGTGGCACGCTGCTCCACGCACAGCGGAGGGAAACCCTTCGACGCCGGCTCTGCCGCGTGACGGTCACGACAGCCAACCCCGACATTTGAATTCTCTGCGCTGGAATTTGGCAGAAATTTGGTGAAACGTCAAATGTTTTTTTATTGGCGGGCGTGGAGGGGGGCAGCATCTACATGGTGACCAGTCAGAGACCGTCAGCCAGCTGCACTTGAGAGCCCGGCTCAGGGAGACTCTCTCGACAGCGACCTCGCTTGTGGGCCCTTTGCCCGGCGGGCGCGTGAGCGAGCAGTTGCAGGGCTACGCCCGTACCGCGTCCCGATGCCAATTGCGCCGCCGCTACCGTGCAACGTTTGTTTCTGTGGCGCTACTGCAACAGAATAGCAAACAACAACAAAGACATCTTCTTTGGGTCTTTCCGGATAAATCACGTAGATGGGTTAAAAGAAAATAACAAAAAAATAACAAGAAACTACGACGTTGCCATCGCAACACAAGCGTCCGTCGTCAGGAAGAACGCTTGTGTTGCGATGGAAACGTCGTCGTTTTTTGTAATTTTTTTGTTATTTTCTTTGATTGCCATCGACGTGACTTTTACCGAAATACCCAAAAAATATGAATTCCTGCAGTCACGAAAGCTCAAAGTCAACAAAAGACATCGTGTCTCAGTGATGCAGCAGTGAGGCTGTGGGCACGTTGCAGTGAGGCTGTGGGCATGTTGCAGTGAGGCTGTGGGCATGTTGCAGTGAGGCTGTGGGCACGTTGCAGTGAGGTGGCGCTCGCCAATTTACCCGCTTTCTTGGACGCCCTCGTCCTTTCGTCTCTCCCGGTGCCTCCGTTGCCTCCGTTGCCTACGGGGACAGAAGTGTGGGAATCGTGATCGTCGTCATCATCATCACCGCGATCAACAACAGCGTGATCATCACCGACATGAGCATTGCCATCGTCGTCAACGTCAGAGTTCTGTGAGTTTCAATATCAATATGTGCTCGCTAACAACACTTGCCCCAACAGTCTGTTAAGGCTACATAGGGGGCCTTTGTCTGTGTGTGAACGAGTGTGTGTGGGGAGTGGTGGTGCAGCGGTTAGCGCTACGCTGCGCTACGAACCTGGCGACCCGTTGGTGGCTCACGGCCACCAACACCAGTGACGATTATCTAAACCGGTCCTGGGCCTCCCCTAGATCGACTCAGCCTCAAATGAGTACTCGGTGCGATGTGTAAACATCGCCACTGGGGAGACAAAGGCGGCCGGGCGTGGTGCTGGCCACTCACCCCCTCGTGTGCCTTTATAGGTGCTCGCTAACAGCACTTGCCCCTACAGTCTGTTAAGGCTACACGGGGGATCTTTATCTTTTGTCTTTATGCGTGCGGTCTGGTGGTCCCCCCTTTTGTTTTAAGAAGGGGGGGGGGGTCGTCACTGATGATAATTTCACATCTACCGGGCACGTCCCTCCTCAGTGTGCCGGTAATGGTTCTGCGAAGGATTTTTCATCGCCCACCCCCCCCCCCCTTGCCAGGGTCGCGTTGATGCCGAGAGGCTCCGATCTGGTCTCACACAGAGACACGGTCCTCTGAATTCTCTGTGTGCTACAGCACGGGCTAGATCAGGGGTCAGGAACCTTTTTGACTGGGAGAGCCATAAAAGCCAAATATTTCTAAATATATTTCATTGAGAGCCATATAGTATTTTTAACGTTTAATAAATTAAATGTCTTACTTTTAATGCGACTTCTGGTGCTGCATGGTTTTACTGATGGCCTTGTAGTCTGGTTCGTACGTGGTGAGGTTGAGCTTCATGCAGGCGTGACCCATGAAATTTATCTTCAAAGCTAATTTCTGTTTACTTTAAAATGACACAGTATTATAAAGCAATATCACAAGTATTTAAAAATCAGTTCCAAACTGATTTTTATTTATTTTTTAAACTCAAAATTGTCTGGGAGCCAGATGCCGTCACTGGAAGAGCCATATATGGCTCGCGAGCCATAGGTTCCCGACCGCTGGGTTAGAGGGAAGTTCAAAGGGACCTACGCCTCTGCTTTATTGACCTCGGTCAAGGCCTATGATACAATCACTAGGCCGGTGCTCTGGGTTGTTCTTTCGTGCTTTCGGAGTCCCTGACTCTCTGCTCATAATTCATCAAGGACCTTCATGATGGTGGGCTGGGCCCGGGTAAATTCAGAGCCATTCCCTGTTCACCTTGGAGTGTGACAGGGATGTCTTCTGGCTCCTACATTATTTGACCAGGTGGTTAGAGACACTTCCCATGACTGTGTAGTAAGTATATATGGAGGCTTGACGACAGGATCGGAGGCACACTTATTTATTACACCAACACAGTTGTACAGGTCACTTGGCTACAGGGATTCTCGACAGCTAACCCCTCTAACCTATACCAATTCCTCCACTACGGGACTAGGGGAGGCTATCTGTCCCAGCTTGGTTAAGCTGGGATCCCGGCTCCCTGAGTCACCAGACCAGCTTCGTCTGGGCTCTCGGGGCCACGCCACCGGCTTGCCCTGGTCGGCCCTTATAAGGACAGCGAGCCAGGGGAGCTCTGGGGCCTACACTAGCTGGTCTTCCGTCTTCTCTGGTTAAAGCTGAGTCCCGACCTCGAGCCCTCGAGCTCATCACCTTTTATAGGACTCGCCCCCGAGGGGGGGCCCGTGGGGGATACACATGCGGACGTCGGTGCTAGCGCCACCCTTGTGTACGGCCGTAACCCCGCCCATTGTGTTTGTTGGCCATCCGTGGCCATGCATAATTACACCTCAACATTCGTAGCCATGCGCAATTACACCTCTACATCACCCCCCCCTGTACAGCTCGCAGCCGTCCCTGGCTGCAAAAAAAAAAAAAAATCAGAATAAAGGTGCATCCCTCACAAAAACCCCGTGTGTGTGCCTCGCGTAATTTTTAACAAGAACAAGAGAACCTTAACAAGAACAACAACAGGAAGAGAGAGAGAGAGAGGAAAAAAAAATAACCCGACGCACCCCCCCCGAATAAATACCCCAAAACCAACATATATACACACACTCCGGACGCCACCCCTCCCATTGTCCGCAAGGCCCCCCAACGGCCGACCTCACAATAGTCTGCGCGTTTTGGCGCGCGTCCGCGCGGCGGGCCCATCACAAGGGCCCGTCCTGGCACGCTCAGTGACGGTTGTTGACGGTCCGGGTGCAAGAGAGTCAGGCGTCGCTGCCGAGTGACCCCCGACCCCTCCGGGAGGGGTTGGTGGGTGTGGACCCGTCACTCCTGTTTCACCTGGGGACGGAACAGTTGGCGTCAGGTTAGGCGAGTGCAGCGACGACGGGGAGTCGGCGACACCCTCACACGTTTGGCCATGCGTGTGTGTGTGTGAACCACGGGGCGGCGCGACAAATGGTTTTAACCTTGAGGGGTGCACATACCACCGGCGCCTCCCCCATTTGACGCGAACACATTGCGGCCGCAAAACCTGCACGACCTCCACTGGCCCCCGCCACGGCCGTACCAATTTCGACGAGGTTGCCAGCGGCACCTGAGGACAGTGCAACCACGCCCTGTCCCCTGGTTCCCATTTGACCACCTGCACCCGCCCCAACCGAAGCCTCTCGTTCGCCTTCTGGCGGAGTTCAGAATTTTGCACGGCCGCTTCCCGCGCCTCCCGCGCCTCAGACAATTTAGCGATGTTAAATTTAATGTGTTCGGACAAATTAGACTTCGCCGGGAGCGCCGAGAGCTTCAGCTGGGTCGCCACAGGGGGGTTAACTTCGCGCCCATACATTAAAAAGAAAGGGGAAAATCCGGTGGCCGCATGAGGAGCCATTCTGTAGGCCTGCAACACACCGGCTATGCGGAGGTCCCAATCCGTCTGGGATACCGACACCTGCTGGGACAGCATGGACGTGATGGTCCGATGCAGCCGTTCCACCATCCCGTCAGTTTGTGGGTGATACGGAGAGGTCCGAACCTTCTCCGTACCCAAGAGGTCGCACACCTCACGTAGGAGTTTACCAGAAAAATTCCTACCCTGGTCAGTAAGCAGCCGTTCCGGAGCACCTTTGTCGAGGACATAGCCCTGGACAAAGGCCTCCGCGATGGCTGCTGCCGACTGGTTCGCCAGGGGCCAGGCCATAGGCCATCTCGTGAAGTATTCAACCCCCGTTAGTAAATACCTATTGCCCCTGGGCGTAGCGGGAAATGGCCCAAGTATGTCCAGAGCGACGAGCTCGTTAACCCGGGAAACTTTTATGGACTGCAGCGGAGGGTTGGACCCCCTCGCAGGCGGCTTCCTCTGCGCGCATTGCGTGCATGACCCCAAGAGATCCCCCACGTCCTTTTCCATGCCCGGCCAGAAGAAATCCAGCTGGAGCGTGGCAAAGGTCTTGTGAACCCCCAAGTGCAGAAGCCGCTCATGAACAGCCCATACCACCTTACCCCTTAAAGCAGCAGGCACCACAAGCCGCTGGCGCCGGGTTTTTCCATCCCAGTGCATCAAAAGACCCTGGAACAACCCCCACGAGTCAACGTTTTCCACCCCCTGACCAGCCCCCCCGACGCGACGGCGCAAAGCGAGGAGGGAGGTGTCCTCCATTTGGAGGCGTCCCCATTCCGCGACCGGCAACCCCAGCAACGAATCCCTCCCTTCTTGCTCGATAGGACCCGAAGCCGAAGGTGCATCGGTAGCGGCCACGAGGACCGAATCGGTGGTGACGTTCGGGGGCCTACAACGCCCCGAACCCAACAGGCACGCGCACTCCGAAGTGGGTGGCAATCGTGACAGGGCGTCAGCGTTCGTGTGGCGGACACCCTTACGATATGTGGTGACAAAGTCATAGTCTTGGAGGATCTCTAACCATCGAGACAACTGGCCCGATGGTTGTTGAACCCGCAGGGCGTACTGTAGGGCCGCATGATCTGTACGGACGGTGAACCGCCGACCGTACAGATACGGGCGGTACTGCTGAATGAAATAAACAATGGCCAATAATTCCCGACGGGTAACGCAGTACCGCTGTTCGGCTGGAGACAGTACCCGACTACCGTAAGCCACCACATGCTCTACGCCCCCGATGAGCTGGGACAGCACACCCCCGATGCCCGTGTTACTTGCGTCAGTATCGAGCAAGAAGGGTTGTGAAAAATCCGGGTAATTCAACGGCGGAGCTCCCACCAAAGCATTTCTGAGGGCGCGAAAAGCAGCCTCCTCCTCCGGCCCCCAATGAAACCTGACTCCCTTGGACGTCAAGGCATGCAATGGTTTCGCAATCGTAGCGAAGTCAGCCACAAATCGCCGATAATACGACGCGAACCCAATGAAACTCCTGACCTCTCCCACAGAGGTGGGAGTCGGCCAGGAGCTGACGCATTCCGTTTTGGCGGGATCAGTGGATATCCCCGAGCGCCCAACAATGTGACCCAAATATCGCACCGATTCGCGGAGTAAATGACACTTCTGTGGTTTAAATTTCAAATTGGCAGCCCGCATTTTGAGAAAAACAGCACGCAACCTCTGGAGGTGTTCCTCGAAGGATTTGCTAAAGACGATGACATCGTCTAAGTAAATCAAACACGAATCCCATTGCAAACCTGCCAAGACCAATTCCATTAACCGCTGAAAAGTTGCCGGCGCAGAATGTAAACCCATCGGCAAACGGTTAAATTGGAAGAGGCCCTGCGGTGTACGAAAAGCAGTCTTAGGTTTCGATTCGTCATCCAGAGGAAGCTGCCAGAATCCAGATAGCAAATCAAGGGTGGAAAAGAATCGTGCACCGGCCAAGGCGTCGAGCGACTCATCCATCCGAGGAAGCGGGTACGCATCTGCCACAGAGATTTTGTTGAGACGCCGAAAGTCAACACAAAATCTCAGTGAGCCGTCGTGTTTCTTCACCAAAACGATCGGCGCGCCCCACGGGCTGGTGGAAGGGGAAATGATATCGGCGGCTAGCATGTCATCAACAGCCGATTTGACATGATCCTTTTCGGCGGGACTCAACCGAAAGGGATTTTGGCGGATTGGCGCGCTGTCACCCGTGTCAATATGGTGTCGCAGCAATTTTGTACAACCAATATCAAATTTGTGTTGACTAAAAACGTCAGCAAATTCGCTCAGGAGAACTCGCAGCTGCGCGCGCTGCGAGTCAGACAGGTCCACTGAACCCGCGCAAAGCGCATCCAGCCATCCGTCATCAGAGTCCGAATGCGGTCGCGACGGAGGATCGGTGGATACCTGACCCACGAGTGGTTCCTCATAGGGCACCGGCGTTGCGTGTGCAAGCACGGTCCCTTGAGGAACCACGGCCGTTCGCGATCCCACATTAAGGACTGCAATGAAGGGGTCCCCATCCCCTCTCACCATAGTCTGAGCCGCGAGCAAATCGGGTCCATTGACCCCGGCCCGAGATGGACCCAACAAGACCCCCCGATCCGCAACCCCTGCATCAAACGGCCGACGCAACCTAAGAGGGACGAGCATCTGAGCCCCCGGAGGCACGCGCACAGTTTTTGTGACGAGCGCCTGCACGGTGGCAAACGCCCGACGCTCCGTGGTGGGGGAAGACAGAAATGTAACGCGTCGGCCCGATGGGAGCTCAATGCACCCTTGGTCAATAAGGATACGGATGGGCATTTTGGCCAGAAAATCCGTCCCCAACAGGCACGGAACCGCGAGTGAGGAGGAAACCAAAACAGGGCCGGATAATTTAATGTCCCCAATGCAGATAGTGGCGCGGATTTGGCCAATAATGCCCAGAGAGCCCCCGTTAGCGGCATAGCACGGCACGTCAACAGGGAGCAAGGGACGACTTTGAACGGGAAGGATGTTATAAATTAAATCAGATATAATGGTCGCCGATGCCCCTGTGTCAATTAAAATCCGCACCTCTACCCCATCAATGTGACCGACCACGACCGATGATCCCGCCGACGCAGCAACGACACGATGGGCGAGCTCCGACCACTGACCCGGTTGGAGCGCTCGCCGCATTACCGAACAATCGCGCGCGACGGACGGGGAATTTGGAGCCCTGTTTAGTTGAGCGCGTGAGTGTGTGTCGGATGTGTGCGTGGGCCAAACGTGTGAGGTGCCGCGACTCGCCGTATTTCTCTGCTGGAGCTTGGGAGGAGACGGCGTGGCGTCCTGACGAGGTGTCGCCCCGCGCTGACGGGGAGCCCGGCATCCAGACGCAACGTGGCCTTGCAGGCCACAGTTGTAGCAGCGTGTGAGCGCCCCAGATGACCTGGGCTGCTCCTGGCGGCTCGGTCCATTCCGAGCCTGCGGTGCCGCCGATCTCCATTCCCCTCGCCGCTCCACCCCGCAGACCTCCTCCGATGGGAGGGCGGTGGTCGCCATGGCATGGCCGGCCGCCCCCTTTGCCGCCTTCCGACGCAGGGACCGCAAGCCCCCGTGGATGTGGCGCGCGACCAGCAGGGACGACATCTCCGCGTCGTCCTGAGCCAAGACGTTGACGTCCAGCTCGTCAGCGAGTAGCAGCAGCTTCTCAGCCACCATGGCATCCACTCCTTCCTCGTCCATCCTTGGGAAAGCAGCCTTTGCCAGAGCCAGGAGAGCCGTCCGGAAGGCCAGGGGTGACTCGTTGGCGCCCCGACTCCGATCGTGGAACAGCTGCCTGCAGTCCGAAGGCGGCCCATAGACGGCTGACAGCAGCTGCAACGCCAGGTGTAGAGTGGCGCGCTTTTCCCTCGGCGCCGAGGTGAGGGTAGCCAGGGCGTCGTTGTCCAGCATCGCTGGCAGCGCGCGTAGAGCCTCGGCGTCCGACCAGTTCGCCATCTCTTGATGAGCGATGAACCGCCTCTTGAAGCCGCCCCAGTCTCCGTCAGCGCCGACAAATTCTTTAAGAGGCGGCAGACGCTGTTGTAAGGCGGCGTCCGTGGCCGCAGAACGCTCTCCGTCGCTCCCCGCCGATGATACAGTGTGGGCGGGCCGTGCACATGGCATCGCCGGTCGCTCTGATGTTGACGCGCCGGCCGGCGTTGATGATGTCACGGCTTGTGCTTGGCGCTCAGCAGACACGTGACGCGGGCCGGCCCCGCCCTCCGCTCGTACTGTAGAGATGGCGGGAAATTTGACCGCGAGCCGCGTCGGGGTGGCGGGAAACGTCGCCCCGCGCCGGCTGCCGTCGTCGACCCGCGCTGCTCCTCCAGCCCCCAGCCGCGTGATCTCCTCCAACGCGGCGGCCGCGGCGTAGAGCAGGTCCGCCAGGCGGGAGTGGGCCAGCCGGAGTCCTTCGGCCGACGCATCCCCCTCCTCCTGTCGTAGCGGCGCGGGCGTACTCGGCCCCGGCTGCTCCGATTCGACCCCGGCCATCACTGGTGGAGATTCGGCCGCGGCGTCTTCCATCTCCGACTCCCTGGTACGTGTCGTCCCTCGTGTGTCCATCGTTGGACGTTTACTTCTGACACCAGATGTAGTAAGTATATATGGAGGCTTGACGACAGGATCGGAGGCACACTTATTTATTACACCAACACAGTTGTACAGGTCACTTGGCTACAGGGATTCTCGACAGCTAACCCCTCTAACCTATACCAATTCCTCCACTACGGGACTAGGGGAGGCTATCTGTCCCAGCTTGGTTAAGCTGGGATCCCGGCTCCCTGAGTCACCAGACCAGCTTCGTCTGGGCTCTCGGGGCCACGCCACCGGCTTGCCCTGGTCGGCCCTTATAAGGACAGCGAGCCAGGGGAGCTCTGGGGCCTACACTAGCTGGTCTTCCGTCTTCTCTGGTTAAAGCTGAGTCCCGACCTCGAGCCCTCGAGCTCATCACCTTTTATAGGACTCGCCCCCGAGGGGGGGCCCGTGGGGGATACACATGCGGACGTCGGTGCTAGCGCCACCCTTGTGTACGGCCGTAACCCCGCCCATTGTGTTTGTTGGCCATCCGTGGCCATGCATAATTACACCTCAACATTCGTAGCCATGCGCAATTACACCTCTACAACTGTACAAGAGGAATTTCCATCTGGAACGGACAAAATGGGAGGATGATCGATACCCGGGTGCAGTCGAGAGCTAATGACCATCCCCAGTTTGGCAGTGGTCTCACTTTGAAGAAGTCAAGTGGGATATTTTCATCAGTTACTTCACGCTGTGTGGAAGCTTCCTGGTCTGTCACTCCATACGAAGCTCCGGGTCTTCTCGGCCAGACTTATGCCATCTTATCTCAATCCTCGTGAAACATGGAACTCTTTAAAGGAACATCTGTGCTGGCTTGCAACAGGCTTACCAGCCTACGAATCATCCTGGATTTTAACCAGACTGGATTCTATGAGCTCACAGACCTTTCAAAGATTTGGACACAGTTCCATCAGTAAGCTCCGGCAGGCAAGTCTCCATTTGGCTGGGTCATGTAGCCCGCTTGCCCAGCCCCCGCATGGCAAAGCAGCTTCTATTTGGCCGGATAGAGGGGGCTGAACAGGCGCGGCACGGGCTGGAGAAGCGATGGACTGATGCGGTGCAGCAGGATGTGGAGCTGAGTGGACTTGCCGATGACTGATACCAGCGGTGTCAAGATCGGCCTCTGCGTAGGAGGCTCGTGAAGGGCGCTACTGGGCAGTGCCGGGCTAGGTAGACATGAGCACGGGGGGAAACAGAGGCGGGCGGGCGTGGAGCTGATCACACCGCCTCGCTCGTTAGCCATTGCAGACTTTCGATTTAAAACTTCTTTCGTGACTGCAGGGATTCATCTTCTTGGTTCTTTCGGTAAAGTCACGTAGAAGGGGAATAATAAAATAATACAACATAATAAAATACAATTCTCACGACGTTTCGGCCACAACGCAAGCGGCCGTCCTCAGGTGAAGAACAGGTCTGTCAGAAAGACAGCGTCTGAATGAGCACCACCAAGCTTGGCAGCGTATATTTAAGCTGCTGGGTTAGGGGAGGAAGGTTTGGTTTGGCTGTTGCAGCTCTTTACTATAAAAATTCCTTCCCTTTATTACTGCTAACCCTACTCCCTCCCTTTGTTGCTGCTAATCCTACATAATGCACGGGCATAATATGACTTTGAGACCCCCCCCCCACCTCCTACGCATTCCACAAGTAGTGACTAATCCCATAAAAATGCTAAATTCCTCTGTTGATATGCAAATTCATTTGTCACGTAGAATGGAAACAATAAATTAATAAAAATAAAACACAATTAAATAATTCTCACGACGTTTCGGCCACAACGCAAGCAGCCGTCCTCAGGTGAAGAACAGGGCTGTCGGAAAGACAGCGTCTGAATGCGTCTAAATGTAAGCAGCCGTCCACAGACCTGTTCTCCACCTGAGGACGGCTGCTTGCGTTGTGGCCGAAACGTCGTGAGAATTATTTTATTATGTTTTATTTTTATTATTTTATTGTTTCCACCCTACGTGACTTTACCGAAAGAACCAAGAAGAATGCAGACTTTCTTTCACAGGTGCTTACTCGCTCATCGTAATTGCCCCCCCAAAGGTGTGTGCAGGCCACACGCGTGGCGATCTTTGTGAACGCACCGTCTCTGGCGCCTTGCCCCGGCTGCCCTTGGGCCTGCCCCGAGGTCGCTTGGGCGTGGGGGCAGCCGCAGAGACCTGCACACAGAAACACACAAGTACACAGGCAAAGATCACTCGTATAGGCTATAGCAGACTCTTGGGGCAAGTGCTGTTAGCGAGCACATCTTAAGGCCGGCACGGCACACGAGGGGGTGGGGGGGTGGGTGGACAGCAGAGCGCGCGACAGCCTTTGGCCTTTGTCTCTCTTCTTGGTTCTTTCGGTAAAGTCACGTAGAAGGGAAGTAATAAAATAATAAAAATAAAACATAATAAAATAATTCTCACGTTTCGACCACAACGCAAGTAGCCGTCCTCAGGTGAAAACCAGGTCTGTCGAGGCGACAGTGTCTGAATGAAACAGCACACGTGCTTGGAGCCTCGACAGACCTGGTTTTCACCTGAGGACGGCTACTTGCGTTGTGGCCGAAACGTCGTGAGAATTATTTTATTATGTTTTATTTTTATTATTTTATTACTTCCCTTCTACGTGACTTTACCTAAAGAACCAAGTAGATGAATCCCTGCAGTCACGAAAGCTTTAAATCGAAATTTAACAGCCTTTGTCTCCCCGGTGACGATGTGTACACATCGCACCAGGGCCCAGGCGAGGCCCAGAAACGGTTCGAACATTGGTCACCGATGTTGGCCGTGAGCGAGAGTCCAACTCGGATTTGGCCGCGCTTGTACCGCAGCGCGCCCACAATTGCCCCACCGCTCTCCACGACACACGTGGAACGACACGTGCGGAGGGAGATTCCCCGCGGAGCCGTGCAGACTGATGTGGGGAGGTGCAAGTGCTGATGCATTTTTTTTTAAGATGCTGCCGTTTCTGACAATCTTGCTGATGATGATGATGACGACGACGGCGAAACCGCTTCAGAGACGGTGACGAGGTTACCAATCTCGGCAGGTTCAAGGTGAAGATGGCGAGCGACGATGTGATGACCTCTGACCTGCTGCTGTTTCCTAGGGCGACCTCTTTGTCGCTTGGCTGGTGGTGGAGCCTCTTCCTCCTTCGCCTTCTCCTCTCCCCCCTTCTTCTCCTCCTCCTCCCTTGCCACCCTCTTCCTGCTGCTCTGACCCGCCACCTCCACCTCCTCTTCGCTCATCCTCCAGGGTGGACAAGGGAACTAGGCTCCACCCCACCGGCTTCTCAATCTCCTGCCGGGGGGAGGTGAATCACAATAACAACGTCAACGACATCATCATCAACAGCGTCAACAACAAGGTCAACAACAACGACATCATCATAATTGGTTCTTTACCCTTCTATCTGGCAACAAAACTGACACCTTTTTGCAAGGAGTCATGTTTGCATAGACCGCAATACCTGCAGTCATAATACAAACAAAAGAACATAACTCTGATAATGTGCACTGTCCTTGAAGTTGATTGGTCCACACCCGAGACAGCTTTCCTTCGAGCCTAGTCTCATATGGGTTGGACCAGATGACGCCAAAAGGCGCACAACTCAAGGACAATGCACCATCAGAGTATGAGAGCTCGGGGCAAGCATCTACACTATGGGGACCTCATTTGCCAGTAAAAATATGATAATTGGTTCTTTACCCTTCTATCTGGCAACAAAACTGACACCTTTTTGCAAGGAGTCATGTTTGCATAGACCGCAATACCTGCAGTCATAATACAAACAAAAGAACATAACTCTGATAATGTGCACTGTCCTTGAAGTTGATTGGTCCACACCCGAGACAGCTTTCCTTCGAGCCTAGTCTCATATGGGTTGGACCAGATGACGCCAAAAGGCACACAACTCAAGGACAATGCACCATCAGAGTATGAGAGCTCGGGGCAAGCATCTACACTATGGGGACCTCATTTGCCAGTAAAAATATGATAATTGGTTCTTTAACCTTCTATCTGGCAACAAAACTGACACCTTTTTGCAAGGAGTCATGTTTGCATAGACCGCAATACCTGCAGTCATAATACAAACAAAAGAACATAACTCTGATAATGTGCACTGTCCTTGAAGTTGATTGGTCCACACCCGAGACAGCTTTCCTTCGAGCCTAGTCTCATATGGGTTGGACCAGATGACGCCAAAAGGCGCACAACTCAAGGACAATGCACCATCAGAGTATGAGAGCTCGGGGCAAGCATCTACACTATGGGGACCTCATTTGCCAGTAAAAATATGATAATTGGTTCTTTACCCTTCTATCTGGCAATAAAACTGACACCTTTTTGCAAGGAGTCATGTTTGCATAGACCGCAATACCTGCAGTCATAATACAAACAAAAGAACATAACTCAGATAATGTGCACTGTCCTTGAAGTTGATTGGTCCACACCCGAGACAGCTTTCCTTCGAGCCTAGTCTCATATGGGTTGGACCAGATGACGCCAAAAGGCGCACAACTCAAGGACAATGCACCATCAGAGTATGAGAGCTCGGGGCAAGCATCTACACTATGGGGACCTCATTTGCCAGTAAAAATATGATAATTGGTTCTTTACCCTTCTATCTGGCAACAAAACTGACACCTTTTTGCAAGGAGTCATGTTTGCATAGACCGCAATACCTGCAGTCATAATACAAACAAAAGAACATAACTCTGATAATGTGCACTGTCCTTGAAGTTGATTGGTCCACACCCGAGACAGCTTTCCTTCGAGCCTAGTCTCTTGAGTTGTGCGCCTTTTGGCGTCATCTGGTCCAACCCATATGAGACTAGGCTCGAAGGAAAGCTGTCTCGGGTGTGGACCAATCAACTTCAAGGACAGTGCACATTATCAGAGTTATGTTCTTTTGTTTGTATTATGACTGCAGGTATTGCGGTCTATGCAAACATGACTCCTTGCAAAAAGGTGTCAGTTTTGTTGCCAGATAGAAGGGTAAAGAACCAATTATCATATTTTTACTGGCAAATGAGGTCCCCATAGTGTAAACGACATCATCATCAACAGCGTCAACAACAAGATCAACAACAACAACATCATCATCATCAACAGCGTCAACAACAAGATCAACAACAACAACGACATCATCATCATCAACAGCGTCAACAACAAGGTCAACAACAACAACAACGACATCATCATCAATAGTATCAACAACAAGGTCAACAACAACAACAACGACATCATCATCATCAACAGTATCAACAACAACATCAACAACAACAAACAACGTACTTTGTTTACCCATGGAGAGCCGCACCGAGCCTCGAGACGAACTTTCAAGAGGGTGTTGCCACTCACCGAGAGGTCTGGGCCAACTCAAGAGGCACGCACGCAACACCCGCCACGCCACGTGGCAAAAGTGTAAAACGCCGGGTGCTGTTTGTTGCTGGCCGCTTGGTGTTTGCAGCCTCGGGGCCCCGTGTGCTCAAGCAACCGTGATGTTGAATAAATACATCAAGTATTCCATTGGAACCTCATTTGCCAGTAAAAAATATGATAATTGTTTTTTTACCCTTCTATCTGGCAACAAAACTGACACCTTTTTTTTTTACAAGGAGTCATGTTTGCATAGACCACAATACCTGCAGTCATAATGCAAACCAAAAACATAATTCTTATTATGTATGCACTGTCCTTGAAGTTGATTGGTCCACACCCGAGAACAGCTTTCCTTAGAGCCTAGTCTCACATGGTGTTGGACCAGATAACGCCAAAAGGCGCACAACTCAAAGACAATGCACCATCAGAGTATGAGAGCTCGGGGTAAGCATTTACACCATTGGAACCTCATTTGCCAGTAAAAATATGATAATTGTTTTTTTACCCTTCTATCTGGCAACAAAACTGACACCTTTTTTTACAAGTAGTCATGTTTGCATAGACCACAATACCTGCAGCCATAATGCAAACAAAAACATAACTCTGATAATGATATGCACTGTCGTTGAAGTTGATTGGTCTACACCCGCGACAGCTTTCATTAGAGCCTAGTCTCACATGGTCAGTTTTGTTGCCAGATAGAAGGGTAAAAAAACAATTATCAAATCTAAGTATTGTTGAGAGTCTCCCATTCTGGCGAGAGCTCTCGTGTCAAACGCCGAGCTGGGCATGAGCACACTGTCCCAGGAAATGGGAACACCTCCACTCCACTCCACAACTGCCCCATCACTCACGCAGAGCTGACGGTATGGAGTGGTGGTGGTAGTGGTGGTGGTAGTGGTGGTAGTGGTGGTAGTAGTAGTAGTGGTGGTAGTGGTGGCGGTAGTCGTGGTGGTGGTGGTGGTAGTAGTGGTGGTGGTAGTCGTGGTGGGGGTAGTAGTGGTGGTAGTGGTAGTAGTGGTGGTAGTAGTGGTAGTGGTGGTGGGGGTAGTAGTGGTGGTAGTGGTGGTAATAGTAGTGGTGGTAGTGGTGGTAGTAGTGGTGGTAGTAGTAGTGGTGGTGGTAGTGGTGGTAGTGGTGGTAGTAGTGGTGGTGGGGGTAGTAGTGGTGGTAGTAGTGGTGGTAGTGGTGGTAGTAGTAGTGGTGGTAGTAGTGGTGGTAGTGGTGGTGGGGGTAGTAGTAGTGGTGGTAGTGGTGGTAGTGGTGGTAGTAGTGGTAGTAGTGGTGGTGGGGGTAGTAGTGGTGGTAGTAGTGGTGGTAGTGGTGGTAGTAGTAGTGGTGGTAGTAGTGGTGGTAGTGGTGGTAGTGGTGGTGGTAGTAGTGGTGGTAGTAGTGGTGGTAGTGGTCGTAGTGGTGGTAGTAGTGGTGGTGGGGGTGGTAGTGGTGGTAGTAGTAGTGGTGGTAGTAGTGGTAGTAGTGGTGGTAGTGGTGGTGGTAGTGGTGGTGGTAGTAGTGGTGGTAGTGGTAGTAGTGGTGGTAGTAGTGGTGGTAGTAGTGGTGTAGTAGTGGAGTAGTAGTGGTGGTAGTAGTGGTGGTAGTAGTGGTGGTAGTAGTGGTGGTAGTGGTGGTGGTGGTAGTGGTGGTGGTAGTGGTAGTAGTGGTGGTAGTAGTGGTGGTGGTAGTGGTGGTGGTGGTAGTGGTAGTGGTGGTGGTAGTAGTGGTGGTAGTGGTGGTAGTAGTGGTAGTAGTGGTAGTAGTGGTGGTAGTGGTAGTAGTGGTGGTGGTGGTAGTAGTGGGTGGTAGTGGTGGTGGTAGTGGTGGTAGTGGTGGTGGTAGTGGTAGTAGTGGTGGTAGTAGTGGTGGTGTAGTGGTGGTGGTAGTGGTAGTAGTGGTGGGGTAGTGGTAGTAGTGGTGGTAGTAGTGGTGGTGGTAGTAGTGGTAGTAGTGGTAGTAGTGGTGGTAGTGGTGGTAGTAGTGGTGGTAGTGGTAGTAGTAGTGGTGGTAGTAGGGGTAGTGGTGGTAGTGGTGGTAGAGTAGTGTGGTGGTAGTAGTAGTAGGGTGGTAGTGTGGTAGTAGTAGTGGTGGTAGTAGTGGTGGGGTAGTGGTGGTAGTATGGTGTAGTTAGTAGTGGTGTGTGGGGGTGGTGGGGTAGTAGTGGTAGGGGTGTAGTGGTAGTGGTGGTAGTAGTAGTGGTGGTAGTAGTGGTGGTAGTGGTGGTAGTGGTAGTAGTGGTGGTAGTAGTGGTGGTGGTAGTAGTGGTAGTAGTGGTAGTAGTGGTGAGTGGTGGTAGTAGTAGTGGTGGTAGTAGTGGGTGGTAGTAGTGGTGGTAGTGGTAGTAGTGGTGGTGGTAGTGGTGGTATGGTGGTAGTAGTGGTGGTAGTAGTGGTGGTAGTAGTGGTGGTAGTGGTGGTAGTGGTGGTAGTGGTGGTGGTGGTAGTAGTGGTGGTATAGTGGTGGTGTAGTGGTGGTGGTAGTGGTGGTAGTGGTGGTGGTAGTGGTAGTTGGTGGTAGTGGTGGTGGTAGTAGTGGTAGTAGTGGTAGTAGTGGTGGTAGTGGTAGTAGTGGTGGTGGTGGTAGTAGTGGTGGGTGGTGGTGGTAGTGGTGGTAGTGGTGGTGGTAGTGTAGTAGTGGTGGCAGTAGTGGTGGTGGTAGTGGGTGGTGGTAGTGTAGTAGTGGTGGTAGTAGTGGTGGTGGTAGTAGTGGTAGTAGTGGTAGTATGGTGGTAGTGGTGGTAGTAGTGGTGGTAGTGGTAGTAGTAGTGGTGGTAGTAGTGGTGGTAGTGTGGTAGTGTGGTAGTGGTGGTAGTAGTAGTGGTGGTAGTGGTAGTAGTAGTGGTGGTAGTAGTGGTGGTAGTGGTAGTAGTGGTGGTAGTAGGGTGTGGGGGTAGTAGTGGTGTAGTAGTAGTGGTGGTAGTA